GGCGGGCATTTTCTCACTAATTTTACCTCTGAAAACAGGTGACCCCCACCTCCTTTTTTCGTAAATATCTCGACTTGTATTCAAGATAAATGGATTTTTTTCCATCCGAATAAAGACAAGTGAACAAGCTTTAAGATGGTACCAATAACTCTATATGCCCAAAAATTGACGAGAGCCTGATTCCACCACGCTGCCTCACATATGAGCGCCCCGGACACACAAAACATTTTCAGTCAGTAGGAAAGTTTTAATTTTGCCTCGGTGGCGACCGAAGCCTATTCTGATCGATTTTGGACAACGAAGGGATCTCTACTGTGTGTAACTTGCACACGTGACCTCTGAGATGTTTTGCTCTTATCCGAGAAGGCTGAGTGTTAGATCTTTCCTACCAGAAAATCAGGGGTGTGGCTGAAAGACAGCAGTCTGAAGGAACCAAGGAGTAGCAGTAGAAAGGTTGCAGAAAGAGTCAGGAGCCCAGAGGAGGGGGCAAAGGAGGTGAGGGGGGGGGGGCAGAAAGTGAAAATGAGAGCAGACAACAGAACATTGCTAGAGAGCAGGAAAGGAGGTGAAAGGACAACATTTTAGCGAAGACAATTTTCCGTTACTATGCAGATTCGAACCCGGGACCTATTGAATGAGAGGCGAACACCTTAACCTTTAGATCACGAGAGCCCCCTCCTAACTCAGAACGTCTTGAACTAGATCTAGTGCTGCCAGAGGCACAAAGTCTCCTTCTTTCTTCACTGTGCATGATATTTAAGAAACACGTGGTCAGAAACATGAACGGCATGACATGAAGACAAAAACACAACAGGAAAACATCTGATCCAGTCAACAACGATGACCATCTTACTTCACAATAATCTGATTTATTTCTGTTTCCTTTTCATCACAACAAATCACACAGTCCTTATGTTCACAACGTAAATTAACAAAATCTTTCACAGTCTATGCAGTTTTTCACAAAGGAATTACAGAAACAAAACATTTGCAGTTTGGGCAAAAAAATTGGAATTGAATTGTAACATAATTAATGTGAGGTGTGCTGACAGAATGAGATACTTCTCACAATCCACAAATGCAGATGAGATATTCGCCAAAAATCGCCAAGTATAACATGCCTTTTATTATTTCATGCTTACAAATTGTAAAAACTTCACCTATAAGCGTGATGTATCTATTTCCATAAGGCTCGAATCTGAGAAGTAACTCATTTTGTCAGCACTCTTCCCCATTGGTATTCAAGCAAAAGGTAACTATAATTGTACATTTCACACATATGCTTACAGGCAAAAAAGAAATATAATAATTATATTGTAATTCCACCACTTTCACACTGAAAGATTTGTAGACAAGCGGACCTGTGGGATTTACAGACATGGCAGGCCAAACACATATGTGAGGCAGCGTGGTGGAATCAGGCTCTCGTCAAAATAATCAAAATGAAGAAACTTGCATTTTTCCGCAGTTTGTCAATTTTTAGCAAATTTTTTTTTGTCTCAACACCTTTCATGCCCATTAAAGAAATAATTTCTGAGTTGATTTTTCTGAAAAGCGTTGATTAAAGGCACAAAAAAGTAAATTTTCAGTTACCACGGACTCTTAGGCTAAGGAAATAACTAGTCTTTGGCAGCCATTTTCTCATTAATTTTATCTCTGAAAACAGGTGACCCCTATCTCCTTCTATCGAAAATATCTCGACTTGTATTCAAGATAAAGGGATATTTTTTTCATTCAAATAAAGACAAGTGAACAAGCTTTAAGATGATACCAATTACTCTACATGTTCAAAAATTGACGAGAGCCTGATTCCACCACGCTGCCTCACATACGAAAACAAAGCCACAATAATTGTACTATAAAGACACGTAATGCACACATACAGACACACTCGCCTCTTTAGAACATTCGAATGTCAGCATACACACTTATATGTTGGCAATCTCTCCTATTGTGTGCCCATGTACACGCATACACACACAAACAAACACACACACACACACAAACACACTCACACACAAAAATATGTACTTAAACACACTTTCATCCAAACACATACATATGCACACTAAAACACAGACACACACACACACACACACATGTATACACTGCACATACTTTCACCCGCTCCCACACACACACACACACACACACACACACA